GTGTTAATATAAATAAAAATCCAGTCAAGAGATCATACGCGAAATCAACATATCTTTTTATGATTCACTCGACAGACAACTTTTAAAAGATTTTATTTCGAGCTTTTTTTTTTGGTGGTTAAGAATCAGTTACATTGTCGTTTAAAAAAAAAATCTTTCTGGTTTGTCTCCCTTAAGCTCTCTCACTCTCTTCCTTTCCTTTGTATTAGTTTATTCGTGTCTGTTTGCCTTTTTACAGACTCTGTATTCGTCTTTCTGTGTGGTTGTTTCTGGTTCTATTGCTCTAAAGACTTTATATATACGTACACACACACACACACACACACACACACACACACACACACACACACACACACACACACACACACACTCAGACGCACACACACACACATACATATATATGTGTGTGTGTGTGTGTGTGTGTGTGTGTATGTACATGTAGATGCACACAGACACTCACATTTATGCACACACACAATATATATGTATATGTATATATATATATATATATATATATATATATATATATATATATATATATATATGTATACACACACACGCGCGCATACACTCACACACACACACACACACATACACACACACACACACACACACACACACACACACACATATATATATATAAATGTGTGTGTGTACATATGTATATATATATATATAATATATATATATATATATATATATATATATATACATATATATACATATATATATATATATATATATATATATATATATACAAACACACACACATTCACATGTATATATGGTATATATATATATATACATATATATACATACATACATATATATAAATATATATATATATATATATATATATATATATATATATATATATATATATACATATGCACACACACACACACATTGTACACGTGTATATGTTGAATAAAGGTAATTGATACATAGAGAAAAAGAGGGAAAAAGAGAGCAGAAATAGAAAAAGAAAGAAAGAAAAAAAAAAACCGAGTTGGATGGCTACCTAGCTAGCTGTACGGATAAACAGAGATATATAGACAGATAGATAGACAGATAAATAGAGACTGGTGGAGATAGATGGACAGATAAACAAAATAGATAAACACTGAGAGATGAAACAGACAGATGGATCGACAAAGAAGCAAATAGACTGAAAGAGATAAAAAGACAGATAATACCGACCGGGAAGATAGACAGAGAAAACGAATGGACCCCATTTTGTTTCGAAACTGCTTCGGTTTCAAGTAAAGCTGAAGCAACGGCCTAGGAGTTTGTTGCTTGATTCGAAAAAAATCGTAACGTGTCGCCGAGACTAAAAGCATTCCGGGTTGTACTAAGCATGGCGAAGCACGGGGCAAGAGGACAAATCCTGGTATTCATCCTAGCAAGTATCGTAGCGGGATTAAATGCACGTAAGTGTGTTTATCAGAAAGGGTGGATAAGATAGATTGATAGATAGAAAGAGAGAGAGAGAGAGAAGAGGGAGAGAAAGAGAGAGAGAGAAAGAGAGAGAAAGAGAGAGAAAGAGAGATGGGAGAGAAAGAGAGAGAAAGAGAGAGAAAGAGGGGGATGGAGTATGGGAGAGTTCGTGTTAGTAGAGACCGTAAAATATATGTCGTAAGTAATTAATGGTTTACTTCGGTATTATTTTCGTTTTACGCAGACATGACAGCAATTATTGAGGTTTCAATTCCTCGCGGTGAAATATGCGTGAATCTGTTGTTTTCCGCCGAACCATCTGTTTATTTCATCTCTGTGTTTACTTATATGTCCCCAATACTCCAGCCACTCCTGGGCGTCCACAGACGTCGCCGAATAAATCAAAGATCTTCCCAAACCAACCGTTGTATTTCCCTATTAGGGTCGCGGCTCCACGGCCTCATCCCATTACTGTGAATTTCCTCTCCCCGCGGCTTTTGCGCGACCTATTTCCTTCACTTCTGACATTATTCTTTATCTGCGCGTCACTATTGTAAAGCGTATGATACCGAGAGCGACGCAGCCTCCACAGACGAAGTTCAAAACCAGGGCATCATGAGAGCCCAAAATCCAAACCTAACCTTTCCTACTCCTTTACTAGCGCTTCGTGCCGAATTACAGAAAACGCGACAATAATAACTCTGGTTGTGTGTGTGTGTTGTGGCCTTTGTCTTTGAGCGGTGATATGCAGTGGAAATGTTCATTTTCCGGTAAATATGAGGCCGCAGCAGCTGTACCTGTGTTGTTTTAAGTCTATTTATTATGCGTTAAAAGATGTCAGTGTCCATTTCCATCTTCCTATGTGCGGTGCTTGGTATAATTAACCCTGTCGGTAAATAATTACCCTGATTGTTTCATATATCAGCAAGTCTACCTCTTTTCCCCATTATTCCTGAGTCATTAGAAATACGGTAGTGGCGCTCTGGCAAACTATCGCCATGCTCCGGCAAAGGCCAATAACTCCGGACAATCTATACTCGGGCAAGATAAAACGGTTAATGTTACCGAGAGCAGCGCACAGAGAAAACTGGACACTGCCGTCTTGTAGAGCATGAAATATAGAATAGGAAACAATATAGGATTATATGTAGTGGCCTCATATTTACCGGAAATTGACGAAAATGTCTGCTACATGTCACGGCCACAACACCCTCACACAGCCAGAGTTCATTTCTATAGCTACATTTTATACATTTTCTATAATCGCGTTTTCTGTTGACGATCCTGGAAATCATTTCCTATTTGTTATTTCTTTTCATCATTATTTCTTCATATTTCTCATTAACTTTCCTCTCGTTTCTTTTCTTCTTGCAACTTGACCTCTTTCGGTTGTTTCCTGAAATGGATATGCGTTTTTATTTTTATTTTTTCCTATTTATAATATCCAATTTTAACTATTTAGCGACATTACCGTTTATTTACCTTAATTGCCTCCTACATCGGCACAATCCACACTGTCAATCTCTTCCTCAGGTTCCTTTAAGGTTTTGCCAGGTTAAGACCTTCAAACTTCTGTGGTCAGTGACATGGGGTACGTTTGATTTTATTTTTAAATATTATCTTATCAGTTTTGTCGCTTTTATCATCAGATCATTAGTGTTATCTATTTTTTTATGATATGTACGGTCAATTTTTGCAATATTACGGCGGCCAGGCAGACCTCTTGCTCAATGTGTCCTTGTCTAGGGAATAAATAGATGGTAGGTATGATTAGGTTGGATTTCTGGGTTCGTATGATATAGTTTTTAATTATTTTTACTTAAGTATTGCTTGAAACTTGGTTCGCCTTTTCTGAAAAACGGACTTTTTGCGCATATCGTTTCTTACTCGGGAGCTAGTTTGTGGTGTTTCGATCGGGTTTTCGAAAAATTGACTTTTTAATATTTCTTCGATTTCTGCTTCATGCATCCCCCAAGATCGTTGGGTAGAGGAAATCTATAAAAAAATCCGATTTTGGAAATTAGTCTCTCTTGCTAACAATTACCGACTGACCACCTATGACAGTAATTTTGTGCATGTTATTGTGATTGGAGATGATTGTGATTGTGTGCAGTATGATAGTGCTTGCGTCGGTGATTGTATGTGTATGCAAGTTACATGTAAGTGATTGTAAATCTGATTGAGTAAATGAGATTATATTTTTCGGTGTAAGTTTGTATTTGTATGTATTTATAATCCCCATTGCGGATTAGTATGAAGTATATATATGTAAAAATATACCACTGGAATATTTGTGTATACTTTCTATCTCTCCCTCTTTCCCTCCCCTTCCATCTTTCCTTCCCTCTTCCCCCTTTCCCTCTTCCCCCTTTCCCTCCCCCTCCCTCTTCCCCCTTTCCCTCCCCCTCCCCCCTTCCCCCTTTCCCTCCCCCTCCCCCCTTCCCCCTTTCCCTCCCCCTCCCTCTTTCCCACCCTCTTTGCCTCCCCCTCCCTCTTTCCCACCCTCTTTGCCTCCCCCTCCCTCTTTCCCACCCTCTTTGCCTCCCCCTCCCTCTTTCCCACCCTCTTTGCCTCCCCCTCCCTCTTTCCCTCCCCCTCCCAGTGTGAATGGCACAGTGTGAATGGCACAGGACTGCACCACGAGTTTCATGGAAGAAATGAGGTGGGCCATGCAGCTGGGTCGCGACCATCCCGTTTCAAGCCACTTTTGAAGGAAGGCAGAGGGAAGCCCTATCTAGCGTTTCAGACAGGGCTAGGCAGAGCAGATCCTTCCTAGCAAGGGATACAAGGAGACCGTGATGACTTTCAAAGGCCGGTGAAAAGCTAACGAAAGGGATCATCTTCCAGAAGCCGACGATACTGGACGCAAACTTTCTATCTTTTAGACGACGACAGATTTGTTTGAGTGAATAGGCTCGCGTCCAGGGGCAGGGCCAGTGAGTATTTATCTCTGGAGCGGAGTACAGGAGGGTGCTACCGTACGTGAAGCTGCCAATATGCCTCAAGTGCTGTCGATAAGATCATGGGCCTATGGTCAGGCTGTTCGGTGTACGTTCTGCGGTAAGAACACGATTCCAGAATCTGTAGATCTAAGGTTGAAAAAGGGAAAATGATTAAGCCTTTAAATTGTAATTGCTGAGGTCCACACATTGCCGGGTCTCTAGCATGCAGATCAAAACCTCAAAAAAAGATCGACTGTCCCGGAAAGGAATCGCGGAAAAAGAAAATAAGACAGGTCACCATGCAGGCAGAGGTACAGAGGGATAGACGGCTACAATCCCTGAGGCTTGGCTACTCTCTCTCTCTCTTTCTAACGTATCAGTCAATCCATTCAATCGTCCATGAAAGAGAGAGATAAATAATAATTATAAATATAATAAATATAAAAAAAAATAGATAAGAGTATTTTCGTTTCCAGAGCGACAACTACCCGAGTGCGAAAAGCCATGTCCGTTTGTGCTACAGCAGGTATGTGGTAGCGACGGAAACACCTACAATAACGAGTGCCTTCTGGAGATCGCCATGTGCAGAGATTCAACGCTGTTCAAGGAGCACGACGGGGAATGTGGTATGTATTGCTGCCTGGATGTTGTTTTAGGGGTGTTTTTTCTATTCCGTGGCTCTTATTCTATCAATTTGATTTGTGTTCGAGTTTTAGAGTGCCAAAGAGAAAAGTCGGATAGCGTTGACCAATGTTTGTTTTTTCCAGGGCATTTCCTTGCAAATATCTTCAAGGTGCAGTTTTCGTTTTTCTATTTATTCATTTCTTTCAGTATTTTAAGTCTTCAGGTTCCAATACGTTTATATCTGAATCTTCCTTTCTGCGTTCGATCATCGTTAGTTATTTCCTAATTCCACTCAAATAACTAGCATTCTCAACACATATTCGACCAGTTTCGACGTTGGTATTTAACAGATATATTGTTACTCTGTGTACTGTCACATGGGGGCAAGATCAGGGCGCTTGCATTGAATAATGTGAGACCTTTTTTTATCAATTTTGGCTTAAGATCAAGAAAACCATTACCCAACGACATCACATATTAAAGATTAGGCTCATCTGGGTTAAGGCTTTTTAATGAACCTGTATTTCTACTTCTCTTTGTACTTTTCCTACTGTTACTCCTGCTGGGACCATGCCTACCGACATCACCACCGTTATTACTACTATTTATATTATGCAAGAGATATGAAAAATAATAATACAACCATAATTATCAACAGGAGACCTAGGCAACTGCGACATACCATGCCCCTTCGTGCTACGACCTGTCTGTGGCAGCGACGGAGTTACCTACGACAACGACTGCATTCTGGACAACGCCATTTGCCGAGACCCAACGCTCTTCAAGGAGCATAATGGGGGATGCGGTATGTGGGGTGTTTTATTCTTTCTCAATTAATTTCCCCTCTTTATTATAGGCGGTTTTTGATGATAAGTTAATTCAAGATATTTTGATAACTCTTGAAACTACTTGTTCATTCTTGGTTGGGTTTCGCGAATTCGGAAAGGCGAAATATCCTGGGCCAAACCAGAGCTTGCTTGCACTTCCCGTCAAAAGTGCACCTTATGTTTATACACTTTACATCTGCTAAAGCTTGTATGTTCTATTTTCATACGATTTTTTCAGCACTTGTCGGAATGAACTCCTGTGAATAATAAACCAGGAATGACCATTATTTTCCCCACAGACTGTAACAGGCCTTGTCCCTTCGTGCTACGACCTGTCTGTGGCAGCGACGGAGTCACCTACGACAACGACTGCCTCCTGGACGTCGCCATTTGCGGAGACCCAACGCTCTTCAAGGAGCATAATGGGGGATGCGGTATGTGGGGTGTTTTATTCTTTCTCAATTAATTTCCCCTCTTTATTATAGGCGATTCTTGATGATAAGTTATTTCAAGATAATTTTTTATGGAGCTTCTTGGTCAGATATCTTGGTTGGGTTTCGAACACAAACCAAGCGGTTCAAACTGCCTTTATGACGTCACAGTAGTAAGCAAACCGCCAACATGGCAAGCAGGAATGAGTGAATGAAATTCTCGCGAAAATTTACTTATTTTGTCGCCAATAGATATAATCTATCAGGTTGTGGTCCAGTCTGTAACGAATAGATGTATTAACTGGTGTATATTAATAGCTTTTTAATTCTCTAATTAACTGGTGTATATCAATAGCTTTCTTATTCTCTAATTAACTGGTGTATATCAACAGCTTTCTTATTCTCTTGAAGGTAAGTGCTAGCTACATGTACACTGTATTTTAGCCATCCTGTGGAGAACCAGTGTGTTTTTATTTCCCCTTGCTTTTTCCCTTCTAAGCTCGTTCATTGAAAGAACTATCTTCGCTATGCATAGCAGATATTCTTTTAAATTTATGCTTTATAGTGTATGGACAATATTTTTTTTTTTTTTTTTTTTTTTTTGGGGGGGGGGGTATTCATTTGCGTGTCCAATAAAATATGTAAATAGTATTTTTAAATTCTTATTTCCTTCATCTTCAGTTCGTGCAAAACCGAGTTGAGGGAAATACTCTTCGTCGGTCAATTCGCTTTCATACTATCAGCGTACATTCTGTTTTCTTTCGCGATTAATTCTGTCACCCGCTATGGAGGGGGACGAGTCATCACATGGGGTGGTTTGGCTACACTGATAGCAAGTTGGGTGTTGGGACTGTTTTTGGCGAAGTCGGAAAGACGAAGCAAGCTGGGCCAAACCAGAGCTTGCTTGCACTTCCCATCAAAAGTGCACCTTATGTTTAATCACTTTACATCTGCTAAAGCTTGTGTGGTATGATTTGCCGGATATGCTTGTAGGTTCAAATGAAACCAGGGATCACTTATCAAGGTTATATTCAAGTATGCAGAGGAGCACTGCGGTGTGCGACCGTGCAGTCGGCTCACGGACGACGTTCTGCCTGGGGCGTGTTGTTACTGGAACATGCCACTAGCAAACAAGTTGTTACATGAAAGGAGGTAGATAGTTGCATGGTTAATACGATACAGAGGGTGACAATCAGTGTTGTACATGTTATGGTATGGTATATACACAGATACAAATATCACATATCTACAGCTTGTATGTTCTATTTTCATACGATTTTTTCAGCACTTGTCGGAATGAACTCCTGTGAATGATAAACCAGGAATGACCATTATTTTCCCCACAGACTGTAACAGGCCTTGTCCCTTCGTGCTACGACCTGTCTGTGGCAGCGACGGAGTCACCTACGACAACGACTGCCTCCTGGACGTCGCCATTTGCGGAGACCCAACGCTCTTCAAGGAGCATAATGGGGGATGCGGTATGTGGTTTCTCCCTTTTCTTGTTCCTTTTTTTGTTTCTTGTTCTCACTGAAGACGTTTTGAGAATAAGTGATGACCATTGTTTTTTTTTATCAAAGATATTGATGACAGTAATGCGGAAATAATCATCAACAGGAGTCCGAGACAACTGCGACAGACCATGCCCCTTCGTGCTACGACCTGTCTGTGGCAGCGACGGAGTCACCTACGACAACGACTGCCTCCTGGACGTCGCCATTTGCCGAGACCCAACGCTCTTCAAGGAGCATAATGGGGGATGCGGTATGTGGGGTGTTTTATTCTTTCTCAATTGATTTCCCCTCTTTATTATAGGCGATTCTTGATGATAAGTTATTTCAAGATAATTTGAAAAATCTTGAATCTTCATGTTCATTCCTTTTTTATGGAGCTTCTTGGTCAGATATCTTGGTTGGGTTTCGAACACAAACCAAGCGGTTCAAACTGCCTTTATGACGTCACAGTAGTAAGCAAACCGCCAACATGGCAAGCAGGAATGAGTGAATGAAATTCTCGCGAAAATTTACTTATTTTGTCGCCAATAGATATAATCTATCAGGTTGTGGTCCAGTCTGTAACGAGTAGAGGTATTAACTGGTGTATATTAATAGCTTTCTTATCCTCTAATTAACTGGTGTATATCGATAGATTTCTTATTCTCTAGAAGGTAAGTACTAGCTACATGTAAACTGTATTATAGCCATCCCACGGAGAACCAGTGTGTTTTTATTTCCCCTTGCTATTTCCATTCTAAGCTCGTTCTTTGAAAGAACTATCTTCGCTATGCATAGCAGATATTCTTTTAACCCATTCGCGCCGGGCGTCACGTATAGGTGACGGGCCCACTTTGAGTTTACTTGTTTGATTGTTTACAAACATAGATGGCTCCACTTGCACTTGTACTGCCTGTCTCGTCTGTTTACCCTTTTCTTTAATTTACGAAATTATTTTGCGTTATTTTATTTTCCTGTTACTAATGTTTATAACATTAGAGTAATTATAATGTTTATTATAAAAATAACCATCGATATTCATAGCACTAGTAAAAATACATTTTCCCGCCAAATGAAATCCGGTAAAGCAGAGCCATCTAGTGTAGAGAAATTTCATTAAAAAATATAAAAAATGAACACAGCATTTCTCCCATTTTTTGTTCATTTTTACCCGGCGCGAATGGGTTAAATTTATGCTTTATAGTGTATGGATAATATATTTTTTTTAATTATTATTATTATTTTTTTTTTGGGGGGGGATTATTCATTTGCGTGTCCTATAAAATATGTAAATAGTATTTTTAAATTCTTATTTCCTTCATCTTCAGTTCATGCAAAACCGACTTGAGGGAAATACTCTTCGTCGGTCAATTCGCTTTCATACTATCAGCGTCCATTCTGTTTTCTTTCACGATTAATTCTGTCACCCACTATGGAGGGGGACGAGTCATCACATGGGGTGGTTTGGCTACACTGATAGCAAGTTGGGTGTTGTGACTGTTTTTGGCGAATTCGGAAAGACGAAGCAAGCTGGGCCAAACCAGAGCTTACTTGTACTTCCCGTCAAAAGTGCAACTTATGTTTATTCCCTTTACATCTGTTAAAGCTTGTGTGGTATGATTTGCCGGATATGCTTGTAGGTTCAAATGAAACCAGGGATCACTTATCAAGGTTATATTCAAGTACACAGAGGAGCACTGCGATGTGCGACCGTGCAGTCAGCATACGGGCGATGTTCTGCCTGGGGCGTGTTGTTACTTGAAACATGCCACTAGCAAACAAGTTGTTACATGAAAGGAGGTAGATAGTTGCATGGTTAATACGATACAGAGGGTGACAATCAGTGGTGTACATGTTATGGTATGGTATATACACAGATACAAATATATCACATATCTACAGCTTGTATGTTCTGTTTTCATACGATTTTTTCAGCACTTGTCGGAATGAACTCCTGTGAATGATAAACCAGGAATGACCATTATTTTCCCCACAGACTGTAACAGGCCTTGTCCCTTCGTGCTACGACCTGTCTGTGGCAGCGACGGAGTCACCTACGACAACGACTGCCTCCTGGACGTCGCCATTTGCGGAGACCCAACGCTCTTCAAGGAGCATAATGGGGGATGCGGTATGTGGTTTCTCCCTTTTCTTGTTCCTTTTTTTGTTTCTTGTTCTCACTGAAGACGTTTTGAGAATAAGTGATGACCATTGTTTTTTTTATCGAAGATATTGATGACAGTAATGCGGAAATAATCATCAACAGGAGTCCGAGACAACTGCGACAGACCATGCCCCTTCGTGCTACGACCTGTCTGTGGGAGCGACGGAGTCACTTACGACAACGACTGCCTCCTGGACGTCGCCATTTGCCGAGACCCAACGCTCTTCAAGGAGCATAATGGGGGATGCGGTATGTGGGGTGTTTTCTTTATTCTCTCCCTTATCATCACTGCCTTATTCCTCCTGTGTTGCGGTACAATACTGTTTGCCAAGATCCAGCGCTCTTTAAGCCCTAGACCTATGGTGAGGAATGAGGCAGACAGACAGCCAGGTAGTAAGTGTAGCCAGATATATAGACATATTTGATCTATTACTTCCTTTTCCCATTTTCTGTCTTCTCTCCCTTATGCATCATTGACCTTTCTTCTTCCTTCCCTTCCACCTTTTCTGCCTCCCTTTCCATCTTTCCTTCTCTCCCTACCACCCCCATCTCTCTCTCCCTGTCTCCCTTCCTCATCTCTCCCTCCCCCCCCTCAGGTGACTTCGACCTCGACCTGGACTTCGCCTTCGCCTTCGACATCGCCTCCGAGTGCCCCCTGCTTGACGCTCCAGTCTGCGGGAGCGACGGCGTGACGTACCCTAGCGAGTGCTTCTTGGAACTGGCCATTGCACAGAACCCCGAGATATTTAAGGTCGGCGATGGCGATTGCGGTGAGTGGGTTGTTGTTAAGGGATTTTTTTTTTCTTAATTCGTTTTTGAAATAGAAATCATATTCTATTTACGGAGGGGGTTGGTGTATTTTTGTATTTATCATTATTGTTATTAATCATTATTATTATTGTTATTGTTATTATATACATTTATATATGTATGTATTTTTTCTTAGTTTAGTATCCTTTGGTGAATTTTGACATATATTGGACAAGAAGAAGAAAAAAAAAACTCTCTCATTCTCCCCCTCCCCCCTCTCCCCCCTCTCCTCCCACTCCAGGATGCTACCAGGAGTGCGACCCGCAGCTGAGTCCCATCTGCGGCAGTGACGGAGTGACTTACGGCAACCAGTGCCTTTTCGAGTCCGCGCAGTGCCAGGACAGTGACCTACGAAAAGTGGCTGATGTGTCCTGTGGTTCGTAGTGGCGATGGGACCTTTTTCTGTGGTTTATTTGTTGTTTTAATATTGGTTTATATCGGTTTTACTTTTGTTGTTTTGTAGATTTTTTAAAATCTTTTTGTTTATATCTGTGGTTTGTTTCTATGTTGTTGTTTTTTGTGTGTGTTTGTCTGTGAGGTTTGGTTGATGTGGTTTTGTTTTTACGATGGAATTAATGCCTTGTGGTAATGTCTTTTTATTATTATTATTTTTATGATTTGATGTCTATATTTTTCGTGATTTAATGTTAGTTTATTTTATGATTTTTATACGTGATACTTACGGTCTTCTATATATTTTTCTTTCTTTTTACTCTTCCGTCCTCCTATCTTCTCTTTCTCCCTCCTCCCTGTTCCGTTTTCCTTTCTTCTTTCTTCATTCTCTCTTTCTTTTTGTCTTCTCTTCATTCTTCTTCTCCTTCCGTTTGTCCTCTTTTTCCTTCCTCTTCTACTGCCCTTTCTCCTCCCTTCTACCACTGCTGCCCCTCTTTACATCTACCCTTCACTCCCTCTCCCTCTCCCTCTATTTACTTCCGCTTCTCTGTCGTTCCTTCTCCTTCTCCCTCATCTCTTTCCTCTTGACCTTCCTTCCTCTATCCCTCTCTTTTTTTTCTCGTATCTCTCCGTTTTTCGTCTTTCGCATCTCCCTCTATCCTCTATCTTCACCCTCTGTCCTTTGCCTCTTCTCTTTCTCTCCTCCATTCTCTTCCTCTCCCTTCATCTTTTTTCCTCTCCCTCACTCCTCATCTTCCCTCTTCTCTTCTCTTCTCTTCTCCCTCATCCTTACCCTCCTCTTCTCTCTTCTCTTCTCCCTCATCCCTCATCTCCCCTCTTCTCCCTCTCCCTCATCCCTCATCTTCCCTCCTCTCCCCCACCCCTCATCTTCCCTCATCTTCCCTCCTCTCCCCCACCCCTCACCTTCCCTCCTCTCCCTTTCCCTTTCTCCCCCACCCCTCACCTTCCCTCCTCTCCCTTTCCCTTTCTCCCCCACCCCTCACCTTCCCTCCTCTCCCTTTCCCTTTCTCCCCCACCCCTCATCTTCCCTCCTCTCCCCCACCCCTCATCTTCCCTCCTCTCCCTCTCCCCCACCCCTCACCTTCCCTCCTCTCCCTCTCCCCCACCCCTCATCTTCCCTCCTCTCCCTTTCCCTTTCTCCCCCACCCCTCACCTTCCCTCCTCTCCCTCTCCCCCACCCCTCATCTTCCCTCCTCTCCCTTTCCCTTTCTCCCCCACCCCTCACCTTCCCTCCTCTCCCTCTCCCCCACCCCTCATCTTCCCTCCTCTCCCTCTCCCCCACCCCTCATCTTCCCTCCTCTCCCTCTCCCCCACCCCTCACCTTCCCTCCTCTCCCTTTCCCTTTCTCCCCCACCCCTCACCTTCCCTCCTCTCCCTTTCCCTTTCTCCCCCACCCCTCACCTTCCCTCCTCTCCCCCACCCCTCATCTTCCCTCCTCTCCCTTTCCCTTTCTCCCCCACCCCTCACCTTCCCTCCTCTCCCCCACCCCTCACCTTCCCTCCTCTCCCTTTCCCTTTCTCCCCCACCCCTCACCTTCCCTCCTCTCCCCCACCCCTCATCTTCCCTCCTCTCCCTTTCCCTTTCTCCCCCACCCCTCACCTTCCCTCCTCTCCCTCTCCCCCACCCCTCACCTTCCCTCCTCTCCCTTTCCCTTTCTCCCCCACCCCTCATCTTCCCTCCTCTCCCCCACCCCTCACCTTCCCTCCTCTCCCTTTCCCTTTCTCCCCCACCCCTCATCTTCCCTCCTCTCCCTTTCCCTTTCTCCCCCACCCCTCATCTTCCCTCCTCTCCCCCACCCCTCACCTTCCCTCCTCTCCCTTTCCCTTTCTCCCCTACCCCTCATCTTCCCTCTCCCTCTCCCCCACCCCTCATCTTCCCTCCTCTCCCTTTCCCTTTCTCCCCCACCCCTCACCTTCCCTCCTCTCCCTTTCCCTTTCTCCCCCACCCCTCATCTTTCCTCCTCTCCCTTTCCCTTTCTCCCCCACCCCTCACCTTCCCTCCTCTCCCTCTCCCCCACCCCTCATCTTCCCTCCTCTCCCTTTCCCTTTCTCCCCCACCCCTCACCTTCCCTCCTCTCCCTCTCCCCCACCCCTCACCTTCCCTCCTCTCCCTTTCCCTTTCTCCCCCACCCCTCATCTTCCCTCCTCTCCCTCTCCCCCACCCCTCATCTTCCCTCCTCTCCCTTTCCCTTTCTCCCCCACCCCTCACCTTCCCTCCTCTCCCTCTCCCCCACCCCTCATCTTCCCTCCTCTCCCTTTCCCTTTCTCCCCCACCCCTCATCTTCCCTCCTCTCCCTCTCCCCCACCCCTCATCTTCCCTCCTCTCCCTTTCCCTTTCTCCCCTACCCCTCATCTTCCCTCCTCTCCCTTTCCCTTTCTCCCCCACCCCTCACCTTCCCTCCTCTCCCTCTCCCCACCCCTCATCTTCCCTCCTCTCCCTTTCCCTTTCTCCCCCACCCCTCATCTTCCCTCCTCTCCCTTTCCCTTTCTCCCCCACCCCTCATCTTCCCTCCTCTCCCCCACCCCTCACCTTCCCTCCTCTCCCCCACCCCTCACCTTCCCTCCTCTCCCTTTCCCTTTCTCCCCCACCCCTCATCTTCCCTCCTCTCCCTTTCCCTTTCTCCCCCACCCCTCATCTTCCCTCCTCTCCCTTTCCCTTTCTCCCCCACCCCTCATCTTCCCTCCTCTCCCCCACCCCTCATCTTCCCTCCTCTCCCTTTCCCCTTTCTCCCCCCACCCCTCATCTTCCCTCCTCTCCCTTTCCCTTCTCCCCCACCCCTCATCTTCCCTCCTCTCCCCCACCCTCACCTTCCCTCCCTCCCTTTCCCTTTCTCCCCCACCCCTCATCTTCCTCCTCTCCCTTTCCCTTTCTCCCCCACCCCTCATCTTCCCTCCTCTCCCCCTCCCTTTCCTATCTCTCCCCCACCCCTCATCTTCCCTCCTCTCCCTTTCCCTTTCTCCCCCACCCCCTCATCTTCCCTCCTCCCCTTTCCCTTTCTCCCCCACCCCTCATCTTCCCTCCTCTCCCCACTTCCCTTTCTCCCTCCACCCCTCATCTTCCCTTCTCTCCCCACCCCTCATCTTCCCTCCTCTCCTTCCTTCTCCCCACACCTCATCTTCCCTCCTCTCCCTTTCCCTTTCTCCCCCACCCCTCATCTTTCCTCCTTCCCTTCCCTTCTCCCCCACCCCTCACCTTCCCTCCTCTCCCTTTCCCTTTCTCCCCCACCCCTCATCTTCCCTCCTCTCCCTTTCCCTTTCTCCCCCACCCCTCATCTTCCCTCCTCTCCCTTTCCCTTCTCCCCCACCCCTCATCTTCCCTCCTCTCCCTTTCCCTTTCTCCCCCACCCCTCATCTTCCCTCCTCTCCCTTTCCCTTTCTCCCCCACCCCTCATCTTCCTCCTCTCCCCCACCCCTCATCTTCCCTCCTCTCCCCCACCCCTCACCTTCCCTCCTCTCCCTTTCCCTTTCTCCCCCACCCCTCATCTTCCCTCCTCTCCCTTTCCCCTTTCTCCCCCACCCCTCATCTTCCCTCCTCTCCCTTTCCCTTTCTCCCCCACCCCTCATCTTCCCTCCTCTCCCCCACCCCTCACCTTCCCTCCTCTCCCTTTCCCTTTCTCCCCCACCCCTCATCTTCCTCTCTCTCTTTCCCTTTCTCCCACCCCCTCTCTTCCCTCCTCTCCCTCCCCCACCCCTCACCTTCCCTCCTCTCCCTTTCCCTTTCTCCCCACCCCGCATCTTCCCTCCTCTCCCTTTCCCTTTCTCCCCCACCCCTCATCTTCCCTCCTCTCCCTTTCCCTTTCTTCCCCCACCCCTCATCTTCCCTCCTCTCCCTTCCCTTCTCCCCCACCCCTCACTTCCCTCCTCTCCCTTTCCCTTTCTCTCCCCCACCCCTCATCTTCCCTCCTCCTCCCTTTTCCCTTTCCTTCCCCCACCCCTCATCTTCCTCCTCTCCCTTTCCCTTTCTCCCCTACCCCTCATCTTTCCCTCCTCTCCCCACCCCTCATCCTTCCCTCCTCTCCCGTTCCCTTTCTCCCCCACCCCTCATCTTCCCTCCTCTCTCCTTTCCCTTTCTCCCCCCACCCTCATCTTCCCTCCTCTTCCCCCACCCTCACCTTCCCTCCCTCTCCCTTTCCCTTTCTCCCCCACCCCTCATCTCCCTCCTCTCCCTTTCCCTTTCTCCCCCCACCCCTCATCTTCCCTTCCTCTCCCTTTCCCTTTCTCTCCCCACCCCTCATCTTCCCTCCTCTCCCTTTCCCTTTCTCCCCCACCCCTCATCTTCCCTCCTCTCCCTTCCCTTTCTTCTCTCCCCCACCCCTCATCTTCCCTCCTCTCCCTTTCCCTTTCTCCCCCCACCCCTCATCTTCCCTCCTCTCCCTTTCCCTTTCTCCCCTACCCCTCATCTTCCCTCCTCTCCCCCACCCTCACCTTCCCCTCCCTCTCCCTTTCCTTTCTCCCCCACCCCTCATCTTCCCCTCCTCTCCCTTTCCCTTTCTCCCCCCACCCCTCATCTTTCCCTCCTCTCTCCCCACCCCCTCACCTTCCCTCCTCTCCCCCACCCCTCACCTTCCCTCCTCTCCCTTTCCCTTTCTCTCCCCCCCCCCCTCACCTTCCCTTCCTCTCCCTTTCCCTTTCTCCCCCACCCCTCACCTTCCCTCCTCTCCCTTTCCCTTTCTCCCCCACCCCTCACCTTCCCTCCTCTCACCTCTCCCCCACCCCTCACCTTCCCTCCTCTCCCTTTCCCTTTCTCCCCCACCCCTCATCTTCCCTCCTCTCCCTTTCCCTTCTCCCCCACCCCTCACCTTCCCTCCTCTCCCTTTCCCTTTCTCCCCCACCCCTCATCCTTCCCTCCTCTCCCTTTCCCTTTCTCCCCCACCCCTCATCTTCCCTCCTCTCCCTTTCCCTTTCTCCCCCACCCCTCATCTTCCCTCCTCTCCCTTTCCCCCTTTCTCCCCCACCCCTCATCTTCCCTCC